AGGAGAAGGGGAGTTCGATCGCTCACTATGACGTGCACTAACCATCAGGGGGTGGCGCAGAATGTGGCGGGCAACCATTGGCAGAGGCAGGGCACTGAGGGAGCGAGGGAACCTGATTGGCCAGGCCTAGGGACCCTACCCGTGCACGAATTTTGTGCACCATGCCTCTAGTGTTATTATAAAGTTTCTGAACTTGTTTTCCTTATCTGGTACCCAGAATCTTAATGTGTCAAAGCAAACTATAATGGAATCATAGAAAAATGTGCTGTAATTATGAAGCTCTATTCATATGTGGCTTAGTAGTAGATGGTTGTATCAAATACCAAAATGAATTAAAGTTTCTAAAATACTGTCATTTATCCCACAGCCTCATATGTTTAGGAAAGAACTGAACGTTTATTCTGTTATGACACAAACTGGCTGTGTGACCTTGGGGCAGTCACTTAACCTCTCTGTACCACGTGTCTCCTATGAAGAATGAAGATAATAGTGTCTTTTAAAGAATTTTTTTAAATCTTCACCCAAGGACATGCTCAGAGAGAGAAGAAGGTTGAGAGAGAGGGAGAGAAGGAGAGAAACATCGATTGGTTGCCTTCCATATGCTCCCTGAGTGGGGATCAAACCTACAACTCAGGCTTATGCCCTGACCAGGAATGAAACCAGTGACCCTTTGATACACGGACGGTGCTCAACCAACTAAGCCACTTTGGCCAGGCAATGATGTCTTCTTTAGCTATCTCACAGGGTTGTGAACATTTATTGAAATCATGTATACACAAACACTGCAAAAATAAGAATAAACGGTCTCAAATTTATCCTCAACACACTCTTCTGTGGATAGCAACCACTACCCAACATGTAATTGATTAATCTGCTGTCCTCAGCCACAGACCTGCAGAGTTGCATAATTGAGGGCAAGGGAGGGAAATTCCACATACAAAGAATACTATGTAAATGGTGCCCCCTGCAGGTGCTTGCAATAGGAAACAGCAATTAATGGCAATTTGAGGCTTGGAATGGAAAGTTGGAATTTCTCTGCTTTGCTATTGTTTGGGCTTCTAAAGCCATAGCTGAGGAGCATAATAGGAGAGCTTGAGCTGAGGAAGGCAACTCATCAGAAAGCAATATGGGTACCTTCTGAAAGGGCTGTGGAAAATGTGTCTCAATATGCTCTCTACTCAGGCTACTCCAAGTGTGGTCCCCAGGCCGACAGGGCAGAGAAATGCATATTCTTGGGCATCTCCAACCTATTGAATCAAACGCTGTGGGGAGGGGACCCAGGTATCTGCCACATCTTTGAAAGACAGACATAAGCAATCATCCCTCCAGCCAGCTACACAGCAGGGAAGCAGGGTGAATGAGGTGTTTTAGAAGAAATGTGGAACTGAAGGAAAGCCTAATCATTTACAAGGAGAATCTAAAGCAACTCCACTGGAGAATGCTCCCCAAAACAGGCATCTGGAAATAACTCTGTTCTTTGGAGTAGACCTTAATTTTCATTAAATTGGTCAGTTTACACTATGGGGTCATAATCTATTTCTAAAGTTGTTTTGATTGACAACCCAGAAGACCAATGACTGAGTCAGTATAGTTTGGGTGCCATCTCACCATTCTCTCTCCAAGGAGAATTCTGACAAGTTTGGTTTCTTGAACCCTCCTCTCTCATCTATTCCAACCCTCTTACAGTCCCCCTTACATGAATCTCTGCTATTAGGAGGAATGATTCTTAGGCCCCCAAATGAATCTGAATTTGCTAAATGAGATTCCCAGTTCTCCATTTAACGTGGTCAGGTCTTGTAACATCTTTAATTGTCAAATTTTTCTTCCATCATCCTGGAGCTCAAACTAACAGACCCAGGTGACAGCCTAAGAGGGCACATTTCACTTTTTTGTTGAATGCAGGTTGATCTGCTCTCTGCCCAACTCGTGTTGCATAGACCTGTATGGAGCCTTCTAGAATCTCAGTGGCAGAATGTGTGTCCTGTGGACATTTCTAATACTCACTGATTCAGAAAATATAGCCATTTCTGAAATTGTTTTTCTCTTGGTTGGCATAAACATTACACAAATAGATCCAAAAGTCTATATTCATTTTCACTTCTGCATTATGGGGTTAGAATGGACAAAAATATCAATAAGATATTTCTATTTTGGGATGGGGGAGGTTTTGTGTTATTACCATTATTATTCTCATGTTTGTTGGGGTAACTCTTGTTTTACTCAGTACACTTATAGAATAAGTTGTTCTCTTTAACCAAAAATTATGACTAGAAGAAAGCAATCCAATTAGGAGTGCAATCGTATCTTTTCTTCTATTTTGTTCATATTATTTAGTGCAATCATTTTTTAAAAACATTTTTATTGATTTCAGAGAGGAAGGGAGATAGAGAGAGAGATAGAAACATCAATGATGAGAATCATGGATCGGCTGCCTCCTGCACACCCCTAATGGATACTGAGCCTCCTGCATGCCCCTCCTGCATGTCCCCTGTGCCCTGAGCAGGAATGGAACCATGACCTCCTGGTTCATAGGTCGATGCTCAACCATTGGGCAACCCAGGCCAGGCTAGTGCAATCATTTTTTTAAAATTCATTGAATGACATGACACCCAATCTATACTGAGTACATATTTAATGTCTTTTAGTATTCATACAGAATGTGAATTACAAAAAGTTTTCAACTTCTCAGAGTCATCCTTATCAGTTAAACTATCATATTGCTTTGGATATAAGGAGGCACCAGTTAGCAGGGTTTGGGTAACAGCCTGTTGGACAGAGGAGTTTCGTCTCGGCAGCAGCCAGAAGGTAGCTTTACAGGAGCTGCCAGCAGGAAACGGAGGGGCCTCGACACCAGGTAAATTTTTCAAAGTATGCAAGCGACTAGCAGACTGCCAGGTTCAGTATGAGCTATAAGGCTCAGAGCAGCACTGTCATGATATCTAATCTCTGCTACCTCTCAATTTATTCCTTCCTATGAGAAATCAGAAACAATAAACAACCTAGTTTCCAGACTTTATTTCCAATCAGATTTGTTATTGCTGCAAAGCAAGCGCAGATACATCCAGTGAGGTGTGGAGGACCACCCTGAAGGCTGCTGAGGGAGGACAGGAACCTCTGTCCCTGGCTCATGAGCGGGGGGAGGGCCTCACCCGCCTTTCCCAGGAGGAGCCTCACTTGACACAGGTTCCATCAAGCCCCACAAAACACAGCCTGGGGCGCACACACAGGTGGGTGCACAGCCCAGCCCTCACCCTGGGACATCTGAACACATCAGGGTTTTACCTCATTCCCATCACTACTCCACCTCCACTAAAACTCTGAGATTCAGTTTAAGGATTTCTACTAAAAGGTGGCTTATTATTTTTAATTGACTAAAAGGATTACACAGAGGGCCTTTTGTTTCAGAATTAGCTCAAGGAAAGACTCAATGCCTCAAATGGGCAGAACTTGTCCCCAGATCTAAGGCTAACAACCGCCTATGTGGGTGTGTCCATGGTTTTCCTGATTGGATTCTCATGTCTTCCCTGTGTCACTTCAAAGAGACATGACAGCACCCCCTCCCAGGGCTGCCAGGCCCCTGGTTACCTGTTCCCTCATGGCCCTGGCACCCTCAGCTGTGGCCAGCCTGGCCTCACAGCTGCAGCTGCAGCTGCCAACAGCTTTCTGTTCTCCTCGCTGCCAAGACTCTGTCCACAGCTGTGACCAATCAGTCATCCAGCAAACCGTACTGAGCCATTCCTATGTGCTAGGCAGGGGACCAGATGCCCCTGGGTCCCCCATCACTTCAGGGCATGAAATGCCTTCCTGTCACTTTCTGTGCCCTGTGGGCTTTGAGGTCAGAGAGAACTGGGTTGTTAACGGGCTCCATCATTTATAAGCTGTGTAAGTTTCTGATCCTCTTCTACCTCCATTCCTCTGGGTGTAAATGTTGTCATACAAATGGCCCTGGCCTAGTTGGAGCATCGTCCCATACACCAAAAGGATTCGGGTTTGATTCCTGGTCAGGGCACATACCCAGGTTGCAGGTTCAATCCCTGGTTGGGGTGCACGTGGGAAGCAACCACCCCAATCTCTCTCTCTCTCTCTCTCTCCCCCCTCCTCGTGGTGGTTGTGAGCCAAGAGTCTGGCTTTCCATGCTAGAAGTTATGCCGTTTATGCTTTTGTTGTTTAAGGGAGATGAATGACTGCGAAATGCCTTTATTATTTGGAGCAGCAAATGCAGATGTTAGGAAAATATTTCGAGGTGTCTAGGGCGCAGTGTGTTTTTCAGCCTTTAACCTGCCAGTAGTCATGATCATGACTTGATGCCTTTCCTGCTGGTGCCGGCCGTGGGTGGAAGGAAGGGAGGGCGCGCAGGGCAGCGGGAGAGGAAGTGGGTTTTCTCTGGGCGGAATAATTTCAGCTCCCCTCTGGGTGTTTGACCTTACAGAACTCATTGTGACCTCTAGCTCCCCTCAGGGTTCCAAGCAGCCGGCTCAAGTCCACTTCCCTTGGGGGGCATTTAAAATCAGACTGAAATTTGACTTCACCTCAAGGCTGAAAAAGAGTTAAGGACCTTTCTCAAATCAACTCCTTGGGCTTGGATGTGATGGGACTAGATATGGAAATGAAATAAATACTGAGCAGATTTTGTTGATGAGAGGAGTGAGCACTGTTTTAACACCCTCCTCCATCTCCTCTCTGTCCCCCTCCTCCAAACCCCCAGCACACAGTTGTTCCAGGTTCTGGCTGAACAATGAATTGAAGGAAGCAGAAGGGAAAGAGTTTTATTGGAAGGGATGGTAATGGTGGAACAGTGCCTGATGGATGAAAGGAGTGTTGTGGAGAGATAGGATTATGTTTTAAATAATCTAGATTAAATTGATTTGCTCTTCCCTTTTCACAAAAGACAAACCTGTGCCTTTAAACAAACTTATAGTTAGCCCAGAGTCAGTTTTGGATTGGTGGGTAGTGAGAGATGAAGGGCACTGTGGGTCTGTTAGAAACGGAAAGGGTCTCACTACCCTTTCAGTGACAGCAGAGGGTTTGCCCGCACTGTTCCAGGCAAAGGAGCAAGTTCCTTATCATAGATTAACTTTACCAAAATGTTGAGTGCTTTCTGTGGGTCGGGTACAGGGAACAGAGTGCTCCTTCCTTTAATAAGGGTCTGATGGAGAAGGCCTGTGATGAATGGCATTGCTGTGAAAGAGGGTCAGGTAGGACGTTTGGTGTGAGCATTGGGAAGGCATCTAACTCAGCCTGTGAGTACAGGGGACACTTCCTGGAGGAAGTAATGCTTTAGGTCAGATTTGGTGTTCGGGGTTGGTTGAATACACCTGGATGAGGTTTCTAGCACATGCAGAGGCCAGCAGGGATTACAGAGGGTGACAACACTGAACTACAAAGTTTGGCTGAAGCCAAAGGATGAGTGTAGTGGAGCTGGAGCTGAGAGAGATTGGCAGGAACTTATTGTGTAAACCAAAACTTTTTCCTGAAGCCATAGAGACCAATTCAATAATTTTGGCAGGGGAGTGGCATTTCAGTTGTAATAAGTTCTCATTTATTTATTTGTTTTTTGTTTGTTGTAATTTGTTTTTAGAAAGAGGAAGGGAGAGAGAAACATTGGTTTGTTCCACTTATTTATTATTGTTTTTTACTGATTGATTTTTAGAGAGGAACATTCTACTTGTTTATGCATTCATTGGTTGATTTTTTAAAATATGTTTTTATTGATTTTAGAGAGAGATGAAGGGAGAGGGAGCGAGAGAGAAACATTGATCGGCTTCCTCCTGCATAGCCTCTACTGGGGATTGAGCCTGCAACCAGGCATGTGCCCTGACCAGGAATTGAACCCGTTGACCTCTCAGTGCATGGTATGATACTCAACCAACTGAGTCACACTGGCCAGGGCCATTGGTTGATTCTTGTATGTGCTCTGACCAGGGATCGAACCCACAATTTTGGCATATTGGGTCGACCCTATAACCTACCGAACTACCCGGCCGGGGCTAGTAAGTTCTCTTTAGTACAGGGTCCAGCTTGTTATTGGTGAGACTAGTTAAAAGGCCATCCGTTGCTGTGTCAAAGAGGGAAATGATTAGAACCTGAATCAAGGTAATGATACTGGGACTGAAGAGAAGAGATTTCTGACATTTTAAGGATATCCTGTAAGATTTGATGAATGAATGTTCGTTAGTTAGGTGTGTGTACGTAGGTCTGGGGAATGGAGCTAAAGCTGTGCTATGGATGTTGCTACCGAAAGAGGTATATAAATTAAAAGATAGCAGAGGGCTTAGATAAAACAAAGTGCTGAAGAATACATTTTAAAATACGGAGTGAAGAAAAGTGCAGTCTGTGAAGGAATGGACAGGATAGGAAGAAAACCCAGGATGGAATGTGACAGTAGAAATAGAAAAATTATAAGGAAACGGTAGTCAGGTGTAATATTGCCTAGGTGAGATGTAATATTTTGAAAAGCATGTAAAGTTGAATTAACAATATTGAATGTGAGCCCTGGCTGGTATGCCCAGTGGTTAGAGCATTGGCCAGAGCACCAAAGGGTTGCTGGTTTGATTCCTGGTCAAGGGCACATACCTTGTTTCAGGTTCAATCCCTGGCCAGGGTCTTGTCTTTTCTTCTCTTCTCTTCTTTTCTCTTCTCTTCTCTTCTCTTCTCTTCTCTTCTCTTCTCTTCTCTTCTCTTCTCTTCTCTTCTCTTCTCTTCTCTTCTCTTCTCTTCTCTTCTCTTCTCTTCTCTTCTCTTCTCTTCTCTTCTCTTCTCTTCTCTTCTCTTCTCTTCTCTTCTCTTCTCTTCTCTTCTCTTCTCTTCTCTTCTCTTCTCTTCTCTTCTCTTCTCTTCTCTTCTCTTCTCTTCTCTTCTCTTCTCTTCTCTTCTCTTCTCTTCTCTTCTCTTCCTCCCTGCCTCCCTCCCTCCCTTCCTCCCTTCCTCTCTCCTTCCTACCCTCACTCCCTTCTTCTCTCTTAATCAATTATATCAATTTAATCCTTGGGTGAAGATTAACAAAATAAAGAATGTGATACAAATGTAAAACAATATACAATGAGGTCATGTCTAGGTAATTTAGCCCAGTGTGGTTTCTCAGCCTTTTAGGAGGGTAACTCTTTGTTGTGGGGTTGTCCTGTGCATTGTAAAGTGCTGAGCAGCCTCCCCGATCTTTTCACATTAGATGCCAGCACCCCTGACCTGTGATAACCAAGAATGTTTGTGGACATTGCCAAGTGACCCTTGGTTGAGAACCACTGTGTAAAAACTGAAATAACAGCATCTGCTATTAATATCCTCAAGAAAAGCACATGAGACCCAGAAAAGTCAAAGGACTGAGCTTACCCTTACTATGATCCTTTCAGAGATGTGGGCAGACAACAGGTAGAACTGGTCCTGGTTAGCAGCATACAGTCCAACCACCAACATGAAGTATCTAATTCAGAAACAGCAGACCAATGCTAACACATCAAGGAAGAGAGTCATAATTTGTGCAATCAAATACCACCCCACAGTTAGTCAATAGTGAATTTGCCTAGATGGGCTTATGCATTAAAGTTTGCATGTTTACAGATTTTACTCCTCAGCTCTAAGTTGCCCCTCCTGTGAAATGAGAGAGCATTTGGTTTACTCGCTATTGTTCTGGGCCCACCGTTTGCCCAGTCTGAGTTACCTGTGTGCCGTGTAGCCTTCCCTGGGGAGACATCACTGGGGGCCTGGCTCAGAGCCTGTGTGCTGACCTGGCGCAGGCTGCATTCCCAGGCCCTCAGCAAGCACTGCTCACAAACACGTGCACAACAGGAAGTCACCCAAGCCACATGTCCTAGGCCTCAATGGAGGGATGCACAACAGGAAGTCACGTTAGAGGTCTCTTTGTCCAGAGTCACCCAAGCCACATGTCCTAGGCCTCAATGGAGGGTGACTCAACAGGGTCTGCTCAGCCACAGAGGACCCTTCCCATCCTAAGCTGCTTTTTGGCCGTGTACCCTGTACCTTCCACACCCTCTAGTCATGACTTTAGTCAAAGACCTGGACCCACCCTTCCAATTGCTCCCAATGGCAGTTTTCATCAGTTATTTCAGTTGTTTCTTCATATGTACCACTGAGGAGACATTTTTAAGATCAGACCATTTCTTGAATGTCAAAATGAAAACTATCCCAATCAGAGAAGCATTTGCTTTAATACCTGCATGAAAAAACTTCACTAGCTTCCTCTGTAACACTCTACAAATTCTCCAATCCTTAGAGAATGAGTTCTCCTTTGTATCTAAAGTAAATCAGGAATAGTAATAATAATTATTATTATTGGCTACCACCTACCGAGTGCTCAATGTGTCATGAATGGGCTAAGCAGTTTATCTACATTTTTTCACTTAGATCCCCCAAACAACCCTATTGGGGTAGAATATGGTTATTTTCCCCATTTTACAGAATAGGAAAATGAGTCTCAAAGAGGTTATGTGCTCGAGGTCACCCAGATAGTCAATGGCAGTATCATATATTCAAATTCAACTTTTTCCAACTCTAAGACCTATATTCTAAGACCAGTGGTTCTCAAACTAGAGAATCCATCAGAGTCCCCTGGAAGGCTTATTAAAACACAAATTGTTGGGCCTCACCCCCAGAGTTTTTGATTCAGTAGGTCTTTGGTGAGGCCTGAGAACTTGCATTTCTAATAAGTGTTGAGGTTATACTGTCTCTGATAGTCCTGAGACCACACTATGAGAACTATAGGTCTAAATTGCTAGTGCAAATGTATTTTATTTTCTTAATCGAAAAAGACTACAGCAAAGCTTCAGGATTCAGAGCATCATATTAGTGACCAGCACACAGGTTTGAGAAATGCAGTCAGTCCTCGGTCCTCAAAGGACAATGAGACATGAATGTATGGTCACCCCAGAGAATCTGGAGGGGACCAAGATCAGCAGGTGTGGGCGGGGCTGGGTGGGAGAGCGGGCATTGTGGGGGTGAGGATGGAGGAAGAAAGATGGCTAACGGTAAGGGAGATGTGCTATAAACAGAGTCAAAGAAGGGAGGGAAATGGCTGAGGGAGGCCGTTTTCAGGCTAATAGGGCCCCGAGGGGCAGAGGGGCCCCTGGAGGGCTCTGCCTGGTCACCTAAAGTACTGGCCACCCAGGATGGCACAGTGATGCTGGTACCTCTGCTCAGGATTCGGTTTCCCCTTCTTTCTCATGTTATTTGCTGTGGTTTCACTGAAGTGTAGTCGGCCCAACGTTACTTTGGTGACTTGGTTGGCCAGTAGGTCAATTCTAAAACAAACAGCAGAAATACCAAGAGACTGTAAAAGAATATAGAGTCTTTGAGCATATGTAACCATTCTGAGAATCTCATGTTCGGTCCCCGGTTCCTGTCACATTGGGGAGGACAATTTATTCTAGTCGCTGATTTGTAATAAACTACCCATAGCATGGCCAGGAATGGGGGCCAGGGAAGTCCACGGAATAACTCTTGAATGGAAATGCTCACTCGGCAGGAGTTTAAACCCAGAGTGTCTGACTCATGGGGCTGTGCGCTCCCTAGACCACATATGGGTTCTTTTACCTCCATGATGAGGAGAAAGACATATTTTATTCATGCCTCTGCATCTATAGCACTCACTTCATGACTGAAGTAATTTCTCTAGGTTCCTTGTGTATTTGGAATTCCATCACAGCTCCTTTGTGTTTGTCCAGGCCTGGCTGTGGGAGGCTGCTTGCTCCTTAGGAAGACCATACACAGCCTCGAGGGAGGACCAGGTGCACCAGGCAAGTGTAGAGCTGTGTTTGTGCAGGAGGCTCCTGCTTGAGCATCAGGCTGAGCCCCAGCTAAGGGACCATCTTCTTCCCGCCCCAATGGGGTTAACTCAGGGTCAAAACACGGAGGGTTCTCAACTATATCCCAGCCAAGTCAGTTGAAAAGCAAATCTCGCTCCAAAGTGATTCTATTGGGGACTCTCTCTTTGGACTGCCATATTGTTTTGGAGAATCCCAATCCTGAATGCTTTCTATTTTGGAACCCGTTATGCAATCTATCAACATATCTTTAAAAAATAAGAAAAAAAATGTATTGTAAGCACAGGATGGATCCAGAGCCTTGAAATTAATTCTATCGTACCAATTTAAATTTAAAAATTAAAAGATGTAACAATAATTTATCTCAAGAAACCAAATTTGTTAGCAAGGTTGTCAGTAGCAAATGATTATAAAAATAATAATGATATAAAAATGGAGCTTTTTATAAGGAACTGTTTGCAATTATTTCAATGCATTTTACCTACTTTGTTTTTGATAGCATATGTTCAAAACATTAGCATATTATCATTTAGCTTTTACAGTAGGATTTACTTAAAATAAGCAAAATAAATTGAGCAATAGGTCTTCTTCCCAAAACATTCCCAAAGGAATTCAGAAAAGAAATTCTTACCTAACAGGATTGAAAATCTTTTTGCTCCTATCAGCTTGGGACTGTTCAATAGCAATTATTTGATTGGTGGCTTCCATCTGTGTAGAACAACGTAAATTAATTACTTAGAAAATAAATTCATTAGTAAAAATGTTCATTGGTAAATAATATTCAAGTACTTTCAAAGTTTTCCAAGATGTTAGTTTAGGAACTGGGCAGAAAAGACATACAAGACATGGCCCTGACCTTAAAGTAGTGTGCTTGCTATTGGTGAGGAAAGAAACAAATACCTGTGAAACTACACAGTGAAAAGACAAGACCACAGAACATTTCAGGTAAACAGTGAGTATAGAATGAGCTAGTAGAAACATCAGTTCCAAGACACAGGAGCAACAGAGCTCAAAGGATGCATTCATTCATTCAGTCACTCACTCACTCATTCATTCATTCATTCTGTAAATACTTGGTGAGCTCCTGCTATGCACCAGGGATTGCTCAAAGCATTAGAAATGAAAACTTGACCAAATTAACAGAAATTCTTGCCCTTGCAGAACTTACATTCTTTTTTAAAAAAAAATACGTTTCTATTGATTTCAGAGAGTAAGAGAGATAAAAACATCAATGATAAGAGAATCATCGATTGGCTGCCTCCTGCATGCCCCTTACTGGGAATGGAGCCTGCAATTCGGGGAGTGCCCTGACTAGGAATTGAACAGTGATCTCCTGGTTCATAGGTCGACACTCAACCACTTAGACACACCAGCTGAGTGCAGAGCTTAAATTCTAATAAGAAAAAACAATGATAGCCCTGGACAGTGCTGCCCAGTGATTAGAACATCTTCCCGTGTGCCAAAGGGACTCAGATTTGATTCCCGGTCAGAGCACATACCCAGGTTTTTGCCTGATCCCAAACCAGGGCACATATGGGAGGCGACTGATTAATGTTTCTCTCTTTCTCCCTCTCCCTTTTTCTCTCTCTAGAACAGCGGTTCTTAACCTGTGGGTCGCGACCCCTTTGGGGGTCGAACGACCCTTTCACAGGGGTCGCCTAAGACCATCTGAAAACACATATATAATTACATATTGTTTTGTGATTAATCACTATGCTTTAATTATGTTCAATTTGTAACAATGAAATTGGGGGTCACCACAATATGAGGAACTGTATTAAAGGGTCGCGGCATTAGGAAGGTTGAGAACCACTGCTCTAGAATCAATATTTTAAATGATAAAAATAAATAAAATATCGGAAATGACATTTATTTGTTACTTGCTACAAACTCTTGTTATTATTAGTGAATATTGGCAACGGTGTGTTGAGACTTGCCCTGTCATCTATGGCTTGTGGGTATTTTCACAGTAACAGTCTTTCTGAAAAGTCATTGGGCAACCTACATCGAGTTTTAATAATGTTCATATTTTTGATGTGTAAATTCCTCTGCTGGAATTCATTCTCATGCAAAGATGGGTATATGCAGATGTTTACTGCAATTTTATGAACAAGAACAAAAAATTCGAAATAAAACTTACAATAATATAAGAATTCCTATGGTACATCTATACAATAGAAATCGATATCATCTTTGTAAACAATAGGTGATAAAGTCTTTAATATCTTATAGTGTTATTTTTACAATATATTAACAATATGAAATTAATTTTAATAATGGAAAAATTAAGCTACCAAATAGTGAGTCCAAATATGAATGAATTTTTTTCTTCTTCATATTTTTTTGTGTTTCAAAATTTTCACAATAAATTTATTACTTCCAAAATCAGAAAAGTGTGGTTTTTGTTGTTGTTTGCTTTTATTTTGTTCTCTTTGGTTGGTTTGATTAAGTGCTCAGTTTGAAGGAAGAGCAGTCTAGCTCCAGTTTGGGAGGCTAAGTCCAGGTTAATGATCAGAATCAAATCTGTGGACAATAGCTACTCCTCCCATTGAGGCACTGGATCTGAGGTAATAATTTAATAGATGCAATGACCAATCAGAAGTCATTCTGCCTGCATCCTAAACCTAGCTCTATCATGTATTATCTTGGGTGAATTGTGTAACATACTGGGTCTGTAACTGGAAAAGAAGATATCGACTAGCTTAGTGGTTCCTTGTTTTAAATCAGGGACCTCTGAGAGTTTAATGAAAACTTTGAATCTACTCCATATAAAAATGAACCAGTATAAAAAAACAAAATAATTAAGAATACATTTAGTGCCCTAACCGGTTTGGCTCAATGGATAAAGCATCGGCCTGCGGACTGAAGGGTCCCAGATTTGATTCCGGACAAGGGCATGTACCTTGGTTTCGGGCACATCCCCAGTAGGAGGCGTGCAGGAGGCAGCTGATCGATGTTTCCCTCTCATCGATGTTTCTAACTCAACTTTCTACCACTCTCCCTTCCACTCTATAAAAAATC